GCTATATTGTACAGACAGTGAGATATTGTATAGATAATGTATATCCTATGTGTAGTGCCTGTGACGTCAACAGCCAATCAAACGGATTAAGGTCGTAATTGAAAAATCGAAAAGCGTTTTGGCGTGTCGGATACTTAAACATTAACAGCGGACTTAATTTTAATCAGATTGGTGTAAACTTGCCGTACCATGGGCTATACATAGATGCAATTTAGATTTTTGATCTTACGTGGTCTTTAAAGATATATCCAAGCCACACCATAGTCTACCAGGAAACTCATTTAAAACTACTTGAGAGGAGGCCTTGTCTACCAGGAAAATCATTAGAACTCAAATGGTTTGTGTCTGATGTTCTTGACACTGTCTACGGCACGTGTCTTATTTTCAGGCTTCCTTGAGAAACTTCAAGAGCAGCCCACTTTACATAATGTAGCCCCATTATGTAAAACGTGGGTTGTGTAATTATTGTTTATTTTTAACCCGCTCTTGTCTGCACCCTGTTCAGTACTGGTAAAAGCTTTATGAAATGATTATATGACCCAATTACAACCAAGAAACAGGAGCCGTTTCGGATCGTATCTTAAATAAAACTGATTAATATACGTTTAAGGCTCAGACTTGTTAATCCAAACGTTTTATATATTCGAGTTGACAGTCGAGGTCGGACAAAATCAACTACACAGACGTATAATAGTAGAACATGGGCGCAATGAAGGAAATGGGGTTTAACGCCCTAGTGGGCTAATGGAGATTGAAAGTTTGCTCTGATAGCAATTGAATACCCACTGTCAAGGATCAATTTACGTACACGCCATGGGATCACCCGAAACGACTTTATTGGTAAATATAACATATCTCTCTCGGCTATTATTCTAGATATAATTATTTAATTAATGCGTATACTATCTCCCTGATAATGTCTGTCTACTACATCGTTAACGCAGTTCATCACGTGCATTTTGCACACCGATAGTCCATTGGCCAATCACGCTATTTTACCGAGATTTCGTCTAATAGTTTGGATGCAGCTATGGCGGGTGTGGCGCCAGGCAAGGTAAGCTTACTCTTCCGGACACCTGTTACCACTGTTTGTCGAGTATTTTGTACACGGTGAACAGTCCATGTGCTGATTACACTATTTTGCCTTATTACACTATTTTGTCTATACCGTTTTGTAGGACTTCGAATTTTTTCTAATGGTTTGGATTGTTCGCACTTGGTTTTATTTTATTATTATTACCACAAAGATGTTATAGGTATTATACCTACCTTGGTGTATCTATATATCTGCTTAGGATCTGTTATATTACATATATCTATAGTCGGCTGATTTAAATTAAAGGATAAACAACCTTCAGATGCTTTCGTTAATCTGACTTCAGTTCTAACCAATCCAGATTCAGTATAATACCAATTCTAGGCAATTTAAAATACATATATACACACTATGTCTAAAAATGTCTGAGAGATTAAAACTGGCGGGAAATGTGATAATGTTGATATAAATAATGATCACCTTACAGATTAGTAAAACATTAATTTAGACTCTGGATAACTGTTTTGATTTGTCAGGGGGTTGTTCGGACGGTCCGATGCCGAATACATGATAATACTAGTCTAAAAAAGATGGTATCGTTTTCGATTGATTGGTAGAGTGCAATGTCGAAAATTTGAGTAAAATATTGGTCAGGCGAGGGGGGGGGGTCCAAAATAAGTGTTGGTGCTCACATTGTATATTATTAAATCATTAATTTTAAGCAGTGTTGATCTCGAACATAAAGGATGTCTTTAGATAAACTGGCTTGCCTTGAGGTAGGCGGGGGGGGGGGGGGGGTCTCTTGATAAATGTATATAAGCCACATGAACAACTGACTGTATTTTGGGTTACAAAAACAACATTAATAATCTATTATGAAATGTAATGGGGTTTAAAGTTGCACTCTATCATCATGATTGTATAGAATTCATACATAACCTCTTTTTGTATGACTTCATTCTATAACAAATCGTACATACTTCAATATAATTTATTTGACGAGGGTTAAGCAAGATTTGTATTTGGAAATTTGTTATTCGAGATTTGTTTTTTTGTTGTATGTTTCTGATGATATGTAAATCTAATCTTTTGATTTTCTAAAAGATATTTTTTTATTACTGTGGATCTATGTCACAAAAAATCCCACTGACAGGTCTTCCATACGTAATAATTGGAAATGCTGTCAACATGTATCTGTTTTAACAATCCAAGAAACGTTCACATTTTGCAATATATCGACGGAGAACTGGGGAATTGGAGTGTAGGTTTTCGGAAAAGGGGTAACTTTGGAACAGAATGCTACGGATAGTTGACTATCGATGGGGTTCGTCATCTCATGAGATCTTAATATTTAAGTATTTATTTTTGATCTATTATAGAAAGAACGTTCAGATCTATATCCAAATCTTGCATACTGTATCTTTAAGACATTATTTGTTGAGTATATTGATAAATGCAGAAGAATACCATGTTGTAAAGAACAATTTTTAAAACACCACCTGGTTTTTGTTCATAAAATTACACTCCAAATCAATCGCCATCTCCGCAAAGCAAAACGGTTGGCAGTGCTAAAAACTAATCTATAAAATGTTCATCACAATCATCGTAACATTTCCGCCAATTGTATATGCATTGTCACCTTCGTCCCACTTACCTTCACCCACCCACACCTACACACAATACCCGCACCTTGCTAGAAAAGCAAAACAATTGTCCAGCTGTGCAACTTGACTATTGTCCAGCTGTGCAACTTGACAATTGTCCAGCCGTGCCTTATCAACTTGATTTTAATTGTCCAGCTGTGGAATATTAACTTGATTTTAGAGATATGCATTTAATGTTTTACTAATGAATACGATGACGATCAAGATCTCCGCCCCGCCGCACCCTCCCACCAGTGGCACCCTGTATTTAGAGATGAACAGGGATAGATATAAGATGATCATCAATTATTTCAACATTAACATATTTCCACCAAATTTTAGGCATTGCCCCCTCACACGCCTCATCACCCCCACCCCCCGAATCGAAACTTGTCTTATAAACTCTCCTCTCTCTCACTTATTAGGATCTTTGAGACAAAGAAAACGAAAAGAATGGACCGATGGGTTTATAATGCCGCCAATAACTTGTAAAGCGACATAGCATATCACTTGTCGCTGTATGTCATAATTTATTGTAATAATGTTTGTGGATTTAGCCATGCTACATTAGTTCGTGTTGGGGGTAACAAGTTTTAATTGAGTTGAGGCCGACATCTTTTAGTGATAGTGAACAAATGTTTACCTGGTTACCACCGTTCCCATGACATTGATATAGCTTCAATATACCATGTCGATCACAACTATCTAGACACCCATCTAGATTATATGCTCGAATCTTAAACACAAAACATAAATATCTTTATATTATAGCAGATGAATAGAGACCAATGATTATTTCCATTTATAGTTCCAATTCTAAAGTTCTCTGAATGTTAAGTGTGCGTCATCGATACTTGCAACTGTAGATAATTACGGTGAATGGGTGTGATTAGGTGCCGGTTTGAGGCAGAAAGATATGAAATGAGGGTATTTAATGTGCACTGTATCTTTACTTACCCCAACCTCTTGACCTAGATGAAACAAAAAACTAACCTCTCCAACAGTTAAAGCATCAGTTGGTATATACATATAATATTTTAATATCGTCTCGGCATACCAACTAAAGTTTTCACAATTTAAATTATTTCTTAATTTTTGTCGTGAATTCAGGTCTCCTGTATTTAACTGAAAATTAAATTAGAAAATCACATCAATATTAATTTAATTTGTCTTACTGATTACAAATTACATGTTTAAATATATTTATAATGTGTTGTTTATTCAAACCGTGACGTTGGTGCACACGTAAAATGAATAAAAGTGAAGAACAACCTATATATGTTCTAGGTCCCTAATAACATTTAATACTCTAGGTGGCTTTACAGTTAAACTGAGAGATAGTTAAACTACATGACGACCACCAGTCAAGGTACACAAGTACAAAACCTATCGCCTAGTTTGATCAGTTGATGGCAGCACAAACTACAAATGGGGGATTAAAACTCGATCTGTTGCTTGCCGATTGCCCATAATAATACGAAAGGCGAAGTTAGTCCTGTGAAAGTAAAATTTAAATATATATATTTTATAAAATACGAACCTTTACTTTATAAAAGTCAAAGAAGAAATGTTGATATTCGTCCATCCAGACCTTGGCTACTCTTACAACATTTCTCCATGACGTCACACTACCATTTGGCCAGGAGTACGGCGAAGCTGTACGGAAAATGTGAGCCACTCGGGAACATGGAATCATTTCCAGGGTTCCTCCACACATCCAGATCTGGTAGATAAAATAATATCACGATTACCAATTCTAAAATTTACCAATTCTATTTTCTTCCTTTTTTGTGGAAGAAATGAAATGAAATGAATGGAATTTAACGTTCCACTGTTCTGCACCGACTGGGCTAATGAGGACAGAGAATATGCCATATAGTGTGCTATGAGGGAAATTTTAACCGGTAATTGGTGTTCTGGCGAACTCTTAACTTTCACGTGTACGCGGGACCTCTGTTTTTCGTTTCATTCGAGCGACTAGACACTGTAATTGCCAGGCCGCATGTCCTGAGCCACCGACGAGATGAAACCACGCCAGAAAATCACGAAAACTTTGTCGGCCAATCCAGCGGGTATCATCTATATACATTTAAACAATAAAGTTACAACCTTACCTTGAAAGACAATTCTAGATTTTCACCACCCCATGTCTCTAAACCTGGATCATATGTTCCTAGTTTAGCAAAATATTCTTTATCTATACTGAAAATACCACCAGGCATAGTTGGAGATCTACAAAGAGACATATACTATTGTCAAAGTCTCTGAGCATTATTTGCAATTGTAGGGAATAGGTCATATTTTCCACGGCCGTATTCCCGCTAAAATGTACTGAAAAGAAAAGAAAATCAACGACAGATAATACTCGATTAGACTGGATTAAATCGGATTAAAAAAGGAGCGATTAAAGTATTTAAGCGATGATTATAAGTGTCCAATGTGTTAAAAAGATTTAAATTCGTGAATATTGAAGTGAGCTGATCGCCCTGTAGAGATTCATCTTTCACAACATCGATAAGTTGGGGTGAAATACTCAATTATATAGACAGGCTTTGGGAATAATCTGATAAAATAAAATGTATTGAATTGTTCAGATTCTCCAAGAAGGCCTCCGTGCAACTAACAACTGATTTGAGTTTGGTTTACAGTAAAGTATGGAGAACTTGCCGTAATGGTTCGGCCATCTCTTTCCGGATATCCCAGATATCACGCGGTACTTTGACCCATGTAAAGGTCATATCCTTCCAATGGAAAGCACCCACCATATCAATAACAGCCTCACCATATTCGAGAGTTATGTCGTCAATATTATCCAGCGTCGGAAATACAACACTTTGTCTAGATTTAGCTTCGCTTATCCGGAACAATAACGGTTCCAGCCAACCTAGAATATAAGACATAGAGTTAACTGTATACATATGAACCACTTGGACTGAGCGGAACAATAACGGTTCCAGCCAACCTAGAATATAAGACACATAGTTAACTGTATACATATGAACCACTTGGACTGGGCGGAACAATAACGGTTCCAGCCAACCTAGAATATAAGACACAGAGTTAACTGTATACACATGAACCACTTGGACTGAGCGGAACAATAACGATTCCAGCCAACCTAGAATATAAGACACAGGGTTAACTGTATACACATGAACCACTTGGACTGAGCGGAACAATAACGGTTCCAGCCAACCTAGAATATAAGACTGTTTCAATGGCATTTAGTAATTGAACTAGAGTATACAGGTCACAATTCTATGGAATACAATTACTGCTTTTTACTGAGCGACGTTTCGACTAGGCTTCTCTAGTCATTATCAAGCTATGATAAAAAATGAAAATATGACAGGACAATATATACATGTACACCACAATGCTAAGTTAATGATGACAAACCAGGGATGTAACTAATATCGGCATCCCTGCATCGCATCAAGAAAGTAAGATTATTACATACATGTACATATTTTCCTTCTGTTCTTCGTATGTAATAATCTTACTTTCTTGATGCGATGCAGGGATGCCGATATTAGTTACATCCCTGGTTTGTCATCATTAACTTAGCATTGTGGTGTACATGTATATATTGTCCTGTCATATTTTCATTTTTTATCATAGCTTGATAATGACTAGAGAAGCCTAGTCGAAACGTCGCTCAGTAAAAAGCAGTAATTGTATTCCATAGAATTGTGACCTGTATAGAATATAAGACACAGAGTTAACTGTATACATATGAACCACTTGGACTGGGCGGAACAATAACGGTTCCAGCCAACCTAGAATATAAGACACAGAGTTAACTGTATACATATGAACCACTTGGACTGGGCGGAACAATAACGGTTCCAGCCAACCTAGAATATAAGACACAGAGTTAACTGTACACATATGAACCACTTGGACTGGGCGGAATAATAACGGTTCCAGCCAACCTAGAATATAAGACACAGAGTTAACTGTATACATATGAACCACTTGGACTGGGCGGAACAATAACGGTTCCAGCCAACCTAGAATATAAGACACAGAGTTAACTGTATACATATGAACCACTTGGACTGAGCGGAACAATAACGGTTCCAGCCAACCTAGAATATAAGACACAGAGTTAACTGTAAACATATGAACCACTTGGACTGAGCGGAACAATAACGGTTCCAGCCAACCTAGAATATAAGACACATAGTTAACTGTACACATATGAACCACTTGGACTGGGCCGAACAAAGACCCCACTGGATGAATCATTTAAGCTGAAGGTTGCCGAACCTGCTAACCAACCGAGTTGTCTGTAAAACCCACAACCCCTTCAGATCCTTGATTTACATGCGGGTCGACCCAATTTCCCAATAGATCCCCAATATACTATAACTGATTAAACCTGAATGCCTCAAATATACAGCGAACATACATCGTCTGTCATCAAAATAAAATAAAGAGTACCGTGAAAAACAAGCAGCTGAAGTTTGTGATTGGGGGACATATCGCTAGGATCTTAGAAATTTCAACTAGTCCCAAAACGAGACCACTCAACAACTAGAGTTTTTCAAGAGCAAACATTACGACCAACCCATATACCAAAACAAGACTTTATCCATACCGATCATTTTAATCAATCATGAACGCGTAATAGAGGCGCCCCCTAGTTACGGGCGAGATATGTCGAAAATTTAATCGAATGTAGTATGGTTCATTGTACCATTTGTTGATCACCTGCACATTCGGCTTTACGACTTCATCGAAGTGGGGGGTCACGGTGGCTAAGTGGGTAAGACGCTGGCTCACTAGCCTGGAGGTCGGGTGTTCGATCTCTGCATTGGCCGAGAAAGTTCATCCAGATTTGCCGGCGTGGTTCCCCCTTGTCAGTGATACAGGGCGGAGGGCCTGACAAGGAGTTGTCTAGTCGTTCGGATGGGACGAAAACCGAGGTTCCGTGTACACATTGGCGTGAACGTAAAAGATCCTTTGACAGTTGGAATTCGATATAAGAGTAGCCCATAGTGCCGCTGTTCGGGTAAAATTTCCCGCATAGCACATTGTATGGCTTATGCCCGTCAATATCCAATGAAATCACTCACCAATCAGGCACTCTACGTGCGAGTCTAGGAATGTCAGTACCGGTGCTGTGGCATTTCGATACCCAACTAACCGTGCCCGGATTAAACCTTCTCTTTGTGGTAGCCGGATTAACCGAACTTTTGGTAGTGTGGAGATGTAGTTATCCAATGGTGCTTTGAGATGATCTGAAAGTCAATATTATATTTAAACATATCAGAATATTCGCACTGACACTCGATTTTTAAATATTATCAACAGCACTATAAAACATCGAACCATCCGGAAACTAATCTTGTTGGTTCTTATCAAGGTTGATAGATTAGCTTTTGTTGCAAAGAAATAACATCAAAAAATATATAATCACGAGACGTCTGTCCCAATTATACTTGGTAGCTCTGAAAAAGAACATTTAAACAAACAGCTGAGACAAGCTAAATTTTTTAACACAATTAAATTGAGAAAATGGAGCTATTGGCATGTAGTGTGCAATAACCGAAATTTTGCCCAGACAGCGGCGCTACGACATACTTTTTATTTCGAATTAGATCAGTTAAGTGCACGTCAATGTGTACACGAGACCTTGTTGTTTTTCAATCCTTAATGAAGCACCGCGGTTCCCTATTGTAGTTCTATATTGTTCTTTTGTTAATTCCCTCTCAGATGGGGGTGGAGTTGTCAAACGGTTAACGTGCGCGTTGTACCATAAGGTCTGTCACTGATTCAAGTGGCGTGGTTTCGATTCCTCGCTTGTACGTAACAAGCAGTAGATGTGACTGTCCAACCTCGTGGGTTTTCTCCGTTCCCCCCCCCCCCCCTCACTGCTAAGGACCGTTACGCGCAATAAGATTATTGATATAAAATTAACCATATGTTAGTCCCGAAATGACCTAGTTTGTGTCGAGTGGACGTTAAACCCCATTTATCACATGGATAAATATTAGTTGAACTAAATAGAATATAGAAAAAGCGAAGGGAAATAATAGATGGAGTAAAGTAATAAGGTTTAAACTGGATACAAGGTACTATGGGGTAAACTGGGTACAAGGTACTATTGGGTAAACTGGGTAGAAGGTACTATGGGGTTACCTGGGTACAAGGTACTATGGGGTAAACTTGGTACAACGTACTATGGGTTAAACTGGGTACAAGGTACTATGGTTTAAACTGGGTACAAGGTACTATAGTATTTATATTGTTTGGGAAATAACATTGACCGTTATCAGACCATTTATAATTTTAAAAACAAACAACACTTTACCTAAGTCTGAGAAGTCATCTATCAGAATGATTTCTCGTACTAGATGTGGCGGTGATCGATCCAACACACTATGAACAGTTCGTAACAGAGTCGACCAAGCCTCATTATGAAAACAGATGATAATAGCAGTGTCTGGTAAGTTTTTTCCATAAATTTTCGTTAAGCAACTAAAAGTACCAAATTTTAGACAGACATTGAAAAAGGTACAATTTAAGACAGCTTAGTTATCTGTTTACTATGTTGAACTAACATTTGGAGTTTCAAATAATATGATTTATTCTGTTTAATATATTGACGAATTCAACCAAACCAAACCTACCTTTCGTCCCGTTTATCCGGGAGAGTTCTATGGAGAGAAATTTTCTCGCTGGCATATTCATTGAAATAATTTCTTTTAAACAAGGCTTGGTATCTGTCTCTTTCTGTCTGGTTGAGCTGTTCTACATTTATATTTACAGGTTGTCCCATTTCACCAAAAGCTAATTCAAAAAAATTCAAAAAAATTCTAAAGGCCAGGAAGAGTAGTTATAAGAATTGTCGTTAACGGACCGGCTGTATATAATCTGAGACTAGGATTTATCGGCACTTTAGCTGTCATGCATTTACGGAACTAATGTTCAATGATACTGATGCATTTGTAATTATTTGACAAAATTTGGTTAATAAAATATTATATTAAAGCTTACAATGTTTCGAAGACAACTGAAGCGACAGTGGTCTATATGGAGTATGAATTTTGAAAGAGTATTATTAAAAGATACGTCATATATAGATTGTAGCTCACATTAATTTTATACTTATAAAATATTGATAACGACTACCTTGTTTTCTATCGGAAGCAAGACCTGCTACCATTATGGTACCCGTATCTTCACTTTGACCATTTTCCATAGCAGTATCTTCCGGTAAAACATTTATCCAACCATTCTGTTCCGTTGCTTTTCGAGGAATGCCCCCTTGTAAATATTTCAAAGTTATGCTTTGAACTGGTGAATCGTTTATTTCCACGGATTCTTCGTGGATAAGATTTTTATTGGATTTTCTAAGTTCAAATTTATTACTTACAATTCCCGTTTCCACATCGTTCCTACCATTGGTCTGCTCCGTTGATTGTGGAAGTTCATTCACATCTTGTAAAACTGCTATATCACCACTGACATGACTGATTTTATTGTCAATGTTTTTTTCATTAGGATTATATTCTTGTAGATCGCCAGGCAGTTGTTTCTTACTTTGGAGATCTTCATTATCGATCAAAATATGTTCAGCGCTATATAGAGAGTTTTCATGGTTTTGTGTACTAATATCAAATATGTCTGCACTCACAACTCGACTCCCTTCATTTAACGTCCCTTCCTCCCCCCTTTCCTTCAACTGCCCTATACCCACATTTTCAAACTGTTTGACGTTAGTCTCTGTAAACAAGAAAACGCCCACCATCAAAAACCAAATAAAACATAATGAAAAAATAAACCTGAGAATGAGTTGAGATTTTATAGTCATTGTTTTTACACCACCGAGAATTTAATTTATAAATAAATAATTGACAGAAAGTGGGCGTTACTTGCTTTTTTCTCCCATTTTACTCAGAGTTTCCTAAATATTGTTCGACGGCATTATCATAGTTATTATCATAGGTATTAATATGCTGTAAGTGTTGTTATGATACTGCATATATCCAACGTTATTATCATACCATATACAGTTCAACGTTATTATCATACTACACATAGTTCAACGTTATTATCATCATCATTTTACTATCACAGCACGCCCAGTTCAGTGTTATCTTCATCATTGTTATGTGTAGTTCAACGCCAGTATCATCACCATCATTGTTATTTTCATACCACGTGTAGTTCAGCGTTATCATGTTTTAGTCGATGGTCATTCATTCTTGTAATATCCACAAAAAACTAATACTACACGAATAAATTACGACTCAAACATTCCTTGGTTATTGGGTTGACTAAAGATTAAATTTTACAGAAGAATATATTCTAAGAAGAATTTAAAAGTTTAACCGTGATATTTTTAAGTAATTCGCGGACCAGAGAACACAGGCAATAAATGAAACCGGTGTAGGTTACATTGAATGATCAGTTTATTGAATCGAACATCATATGTTACCATAATCTCTAATATATTAAATGGACATACCATAACGGACACAAGGGGTGTTAGAAAAATTCTAGAATATAAAGGGTCGCCTGCCCAACCAATTGCGCCCAACCCCACCCCACCAATATCAAAATCGTACCATATGTTAGTCCCGAAATGACATAGATAGACGTTACCCGCCCCCCCTCTCTTTCTTAAAATGTTTCTCACTTAACTTTAAGTTTTTAGACTACTTGATTTTTTATACTTTTCACCGATATGGTTACTCGTATAGGTAATTTTTACTTCAATATGTTTACATTCATATTTCTTGTAACATATAGCAGATCATGGCTCATGCTGGAATTACACAATGGTTTCTCTGGGTTATATTCCTGATTGTTTTCAAATTTGAGTGAAGTCTGAATCACTACAGGCCCGGGACTGTACAGCGCAGTGAACGCTTACGGTTAGAGCCCGGATCCATTCACCAAATCTGATATGCACGTCTGTTTGTAATTTCTACGTATTGTGTCTTGTCCGTAGATTTTTATTGTGTAAATTATGTGTGATACACCCCCCCCCCCCCGAACTTTAAATATTGAATATTTAGTTTTTATGAGTAAATTGTGCTAAATTGTCATATTTTAAAGACATACTCAGATAGCCTGTTCTCGTGTTTTTTGAGACTTTAAGTATATAAATATGTTAGTATATCATTATAGTTTAGGTGAATATACTTGTTCATAGACACGTTGAACTTTTTTTCAGACCGGTAAGTGTATTATAAAATACAAATATTTCTCGGTGAAATGTCCTTTGGATAACTAGAATAAATTATTTGATATGTAGAGTGAATATGTAGCTATATTGCCATCTGTGTCTTATAATATCTATAATATATTCACACCTGACACACAATATCCAAGTTTCAAGTAAACACAATATTCCAGTTATTATTTCCTCACCTGTTACAGATTGTCTGGTAAATATGTTGAAATGAAGGGTAGATCTAGGCTCACATTACAATCACACTGCCAATTGAAAGACTAACATTTTTATACGCTCAAAGTGCAGGTCTATAATGTCGTTGTACTGCCCATCGGCCCGTCCGTCAACAATTTGCTTGTGAACAATTTTTAACGGAATCTTTTTTTTTCATATTTGGTTGAGAGGACGAACCCTATCCATTTTCAGCTTTTATCACCCAAGACAGCTGAAACATATTCGTTGTTTAATTACGTCACGATTCTACTCACACCAGAATTGAATGTCGTATCACAAGGTTCCAGACTGACAATCGAACATCACCTTTCTGAACGCGATAGTTTTAACATACTTTTTTTAAAACAAAAAAAAATTCGTTTGAAGCATTGAGGTTATGGGGATGGGGGGGGGGGTCTTTTCAGGCGTATCCCCACCCTACTCCCCTCCTTTAACGATAAAGGCTAATTTATTTTCAAATTTGGTGTTAAGCATTGAGGCATTCAGTGTTCACGACTTTCCGTTCTGAAGTTATCCCCATTTTACCGAAAACCTGGTGAGTGCGATAGAGGTTACATTGCGCTGGTTAACGGTCATGAGAGGTCAAACCCTATCGTTTTTCAGCTCTCTACGAGTTTCTGTTCTAGGTGATCATTAATTGCAAAACAAAAATACATGTATAAAGAAAGAAAGCTGAACATCTAATGAATTAAATGATTCCTAGATCCATGAAACTAGACAGTATTTTTTAACTTAGATAATCTTTTATTTTATCCCAATTTTTGGAGTTTTTAATTTATTTCTCCTTTTTTTTATTACGCGTTGGTCGGTCATTTTTATTTTTTATTTTGTTAGTAGGAAGTTTGCTAGTTGTAGGTTACAAAATTATACATCATTTACGCTCCTTTCCTACAATGATCGTGAACGTCCGATTTTGTCACAAGGACAATAAGATTTTTAACTAAAATAACATATTCAGCACGAGGAACGCTCACATAAAGAAATATTGTACTAATAGTAAATGCAGGAGGACCGCACTACACGCAAAACAAAATTCTACAAGATAAATTTTTATAATCAATGTTAATTTGAACTCTTGAAGATAGTCGTCGTTCTTAATAAAAGAAGAATCGCATGGAGAATACTGATTTGTACACATTTTCAGAATATCGTAGCCAACTAGTGGGTTTAGTACCAGTCAGTTTGTTTTTTTCTGACATACACTTGGACGGATACCCTTCATAAGCACACTCAGCAGTTCTAGGTCAGACTCGCCAAGAAGCAGCTACATAGGTTTTAGGGTGACATAGTTTTCAACGTGTAAAATGGGTACTCTCAGATAACTAAAAACACAACACAGTTTATATGGAAATACAATCACTGGTTTATAAGTATAGCACGACGTTTCGACAAGTATTCTCTTATCGTTATCAAGCACAAATGATATTTAGTTAAACTAAACGAAAAGACCACTTGACAAACGTATATCAGAACATAAGTCTAGAGCCAAAACTAATGTATCCGCAATAGCAGAACATATAAGCAAGAACCAGGGCCACGAACCAGACTGGAAGAATGTCCAAAACTTAGCCATACATAAACACCAAAAGAAAAACAGGAAAATCATAGAAGCCATCCAAATCAAACGCCACAGCCCAGAACTAAATAGAGACACAGGGTTATATATACCAAAGGCCTATGATGAACTAATTAAGATGGAGAAATAGTTGTCTATTGGCCCATAGTTTTCCTATTTGTTTCTTTTGGACATTTCTAGTTATTATATAACCTAATTTTAATCACATTGTTTTCTTCTTTTGTTGTTCCTTTTTGGCCATTTCTACATATTTTAAAACCTAACTTCAATCATACTGCTCTCCCCCCCACCTCTCCCCCTTAATTAGCTTAGAGAAGTATAATACCTGTTATATAAACCATATTTTGTAATTACCAAATTAAGGGGTTATACTGTATACATCCATTATTATACATTTCTTACTTATAGGGCTTCAAATTGTTTATTTTGTCTATATCAAATTTATGGCTTTGTTGCTCCCTGACTATTGTTAACCACTGATTATTGTTAACCCCTATCAATTAACTAATATTTAAGTTTTAATTATCCTTTGATCAATTTATACATTATTATAAATATCTTATTAATAGGGCTTCAAATTGTGTTTATTTTGTCTATATCAAATATATGGCTTTGTTGCTCCCTGGTCACTGTTAACCCCCATCAATTAACTATATTTAAGTTTTAATTACCCTTTGATCAATTTAACTATTATCTTGTATTATAACAGCATTTATCTATGGCTTCTTTTTTGTTTTACTATAAATATCACCTTTTAGTTTAACTAAATATCATTTGTGCTTGATAACGATAAGAGAATACTTGTCGAAACGTCGTGCTATACTTATAAACCAGTGATTGTATTTCCATATAAACTGTGTTGTGTTTTTAATGTGTTCAATCGCTAAATGCCACTCAAGGATTATATCTCAGATAACTCACAGAAGATTTATTCCCAAAGTACTGCAGGATTTTAAGTCGACCACTTGCCCTATCATACCTGACCAATATCAACAAAAATTCGAGTAGGCGCGTTTTGAAATTTGGGCAAAAAATTGGTCGTAATATGGCAAATTTTGACCAAAAACAACAATTTCCAGTTAAGTTGTCATTAATTTATTTTCACTGCATCGCGTAATTGTTGTCGCCTAGGGGTCCCCATAGAACAAGTAAGATCGCAAATTGCTGACCCCAAGGGTTATCGGTTTTTTTTCAATGTTTGAATGGTAACAAGGACATTGATGAATTTATAAACACTTATGATGTTTACTTCCCTCATCAATCATTATAATTAGTTGTTGATGCTTTTTTTTTTGAAGATATTAATTCCGTGCCTTCTTATAGTCTTTCATAATATTCTAGAATATGGTGCATATACGGCTAAATCTCTTTGTTAAGGCCAGCTCATTTTGAGTCAAGGTCGACGTGATGTAAACAAGGTTAAGGCACGTGATTATTGGCGAGATTGTAGGGTTTGTTAGGATTTGGATTAGCGCTAGCCCTGTTTACATCTCGTGAGCCGACCTCATCATTTAACACTAACCGTGCATCTACCCAACGATGTGGTGTTGTGGTATAGAACAGTGTAGGAGATTATACTGCCAACGGGGCGAGAACACTAATGCGTCTATTGTCATAAGTTGAATGATGACATACAATGTATGTAGATTAACATAATGTTTATTATTAAAGTTGAAATGATGATTAATAACTATAACTGTATACTCATCGTACATGATATGACGTATGACGTAAAACGATTAACTGAAATACACAAATACACAAGAGCAAATATGGGAATATAATTATGAAAAGTGTGAAATAAGATAATAATACTGGTAGTGTTAACATTACACAAGGTAATCAACTTTTCAAGCCAAGGGACAGGCTCATGAATGCCGACAGTAAGGTACATAATGCAATCATGGCTTTACTAAGTTAAAATACCAAACAAAATAACAAAACATTTCTATAAATAATCATAGAGCAAAACATAATACATGTACTATTATTCTCCAGTATAACGAAATACGTTTAAGGGGAGACAACTGCTAATATTAACTTTATCTAACCATAGAACTGTAGCAATCTATGAATATGGTATAATACAAAAACTGTTGTGGAATGTATTTTACTCCCAAGGTCAACGCCATTGTTTAGATATATTAATTAGCTCACTAAACAGACTACACCTAATAACAATAGAGATACGACAAGCGACCAGTCAAATAGCATGAGAAGCGGACCTGACGGGAATCTGATCAACCCAATGCCATGACTCACGAGTGTGGAGCGTGATGACAATGTTGCAATAATACATATATTCGCTAAACATTGGTATATCGTGAAATAGTGTTATTCGTAAACATTGGTATATCGATCAGAGAGATAGATTTATGATGACAGTGAACAATAAAATGGTTGACGAAGGGTTATAACAGTGTTGAATAAGATAAAACGTAAGAAACACGCCAGTTTATATTCACACTGAAAATAAAACTTGTGTTGGATCACAATAACACAAAAGTT